ATAGATATATTTTTCTAATATTGTTGGAAACAAAATATTTAATAGGTTCTTCATAATAACTTTTTGGTGAGTCCTTAAATTGAAACGTTAATGTATAAGAGGTTAACCACAAGAGTGGTGACTGATTGGTTTGAGCTTGGTTCCAAAGGTCAAAAGTACCTATAGGTCTCAGGTTCAAATCTAAGGGGGAATAAAAATCCCCTTGTGGTCACGGAGGTTCAAATGCGGTGACTCCGAGATATTTGCAAAGCAGATGGTCGCCCTAGGATTAGTTGGCTTGCATAGCGGTTTGGATATCCAGGTTAATAAAAAAAAATGTGTAAGAGGTTACCAATGTTGTTTACCTCAAGTTCTCAAGAAGCCCTAGAGTCAACTTCTCCCTTAACTCTCAACTTTGGTGCATGATTTCAAAAGGTTATAGTGCTCTGAATAGTGGCGATCAATATCATGATAAAGAAGTGAGAAAATTGCAAGCAAGGTTGCTCGTTGAACAAAAAAAAATTAAAGAAATGGAGAACAAGAAAGTGGAAGATTATTAAATAGGGTCGTACTTGGTGCTTCAATCATAAAATTAGCCATCGGGGATACAAAGATGGATAGGACTAGCCGATAAGAGAGTTTAATCTTTAAATTACAAATTAAAGAGAAGGGATTGAAGATTTGCAATCATAGTGGGAATCGGCAAATTGGCAAATATATATAATAAAAGAGGGGAGGAATACGATCATTGGGCTAAACATTATAATTGCCTGGATGGACTAAAATAAGAGGCAACAAGCTGTAGGGATTGAGTTAAAATATAGACTAAAAATCAAAGTAAATATATAATATGGCTCCAAAAAATTTCGAGAGCACAAAATAATTGTCCCTGTTTGGAATCTCACATTCGTACACCGTACCCTCGTGCACGACCTTGCTTCCAACAGATGCTTGGAGCTTATAGCCGTCAAGCTTTCTTTTAATCTCACACACCTACATAGATGCAAAATGCTAACTCTTTTTTCAAATGTGCAAGATAATACCACGTTATGACTAGGGGTGTAAACGATACGAGACAACTCGCGAGCTACTCGAGATCGACTCGGTCAAAGCTCGGTCAACACTCGACT